CGCCGCCTCGCCGAAAGCACCCTACCTACCCCTCCCTTCCCGAGTGAAATCCGACGCCCTCTTTGGAACTGATTTGGGCGGATCCTGGGCTGGACGACCATCCGGGTCTGAGCTGCCAGGTGTAACACCCAATCACAAGGGGGGTGCTTCAGCTTCACAGCCTCGAAGGACCCCCGTCCACCCATAGTGTATGAAGCCCAGATCTCACAACTTTTATACACTGAGGGCCCAACCGTATCTCTCTCTCTTCACAGAGTTCTCTGGATTTACTCTATAATTCATCCACAAATGGGTAAGACAGTTCAGCAGCCCAGTGACTCTCCACCTTAACAGTCATCTTTATTAGAAACCAGGATAAACTGGGCGCGATGGCTCAAGTCTGTAATCCCAGCACTTTGGGAGGCCGAGGCGAGAGAACTGCCCGAGTCCAGGGGTTCGAGAACAAGCTGGGCAACTTGGTGAGACCTCGTCTCTACAATACATTAAAACAAGTAGCCGGGCGTGGTAGTAGCACACGCCTGTAGTTCCGGCTACTTGGAAGACTGAGACGGAAGGATCACCTGAGCCCAGCAGGTCTATGCTGGGGGGGCTGTGGGCATGTCGCTGCTCTCCAGCCTGGACGACATACTGAGACTCTGACTCAAAAAAACAAAAACAAAGAGAATAGATGATTAAAACACACACTTCTGGCCAGCCTGGTGGATCACACCTGCAATCCCAGCACTTTGGAAGGCTCAGGTGGGAGCCCAGGAGTTCAAGACCAGCCTAGGCAACACAGGGAGACCTAGTCTCTACAAAAAAGAAAAAATAGCCGAGTGTGATGGCTCACACCTATAATTCCAGCACTTTGGGAGGCTGAGGCATGAGGATTTCCTGAGCCCGTAGGTTTGAGACCAGCCTGGACAACATGGTGAGACCTCATGTCTACAATAAATCAAAAAAGTAGCTGGGCATGGTGGCTCATGCCTGTAGTTCCAGTTACTTGGAAGGCTGAGGAAGAAGGATCCGAGTCCAGCAGGTTGAGGCTGTGGTGGCCATGAGCAGCATGCCACTGCACTACAGCCTGGGCTACAGAGTGAGACACCCAACTCCAAAAACAAAAACTTCCTACAATGTGAGATAAACACAGTAAAGACTATGACACTTAGTCATAGTCACCCTAAACATTCTGTGCTGTGACAGAACCTGACCAGGGTTCCTATCTTTGTATTTCAGTGCTCAAAGTCTGGTACTCTACAACTTAGTTGTTCCCCTTATATCTTGAGGACATAAGGTGGCACTTGGTGACAGGCAGAACCTGAGCTGGGGACAACCCATCTGAAAGACAGCCTACCCTGCCTCCTCTCCCCCCAAACTCTAACAACAAACCAGCTCAAGGTGTGAAAATCACATTAACATTTAAGTGTCAGAAAAGCTGGAAACTGGGAATCCCCAGGTAATTTTATGACACCCTTTCAGGACATCAGAGAACCTCTTTCTTCATCTCCTCTAAGAATATGTTGCTGGTAAACTACATAAGGCATTTGAAAAAACTCAGTATAAAGATGACACATAGTATTCAATGGTTTTTCTCCACATACTTTCCTACAGAGAAGAGAATGAAACCAGTTAATGTGTGTTTCCCTAAGACTGGCACTTAGTGAGCACTGCCCAAGAAGAACCTTCTGTGATTGTAGAAATAAAAGTTTGATTATCAGTGGTGTATATCGTAACCATGTGGCTACTGAGTACTTGAAATGTGGTCAGTGTGAATCTGACAAACTGAATTATTTCATTTTAATATATTTAAATTGCACACGTGGCCAGGGGCTATTTCCAACAGTGTAACTCTAAGTGAACTAGCAAGATGCATTTCCTAATTCACAATGGTGAGGGCCAGATACAGGGATGTGATGAGCCCAAGTGGTTACCTTCAGAGCCTTGCTTTAAGGAGCCTACCACCAGTCCTCTTGGCTTTCCACCCTATGTGCAACACATCTCTCTCTCTTAAAATAAAAATCCTACGTAGGATTCAGAATGTTGGCCAGTAGGTGGCTCACACCTGTAATCTCGGCACTTTGGAAGGCCAAGGCAGGAGGACTATATGAGCCTAGGAGTTCAAAACCAGCCTGGGCAACATAGCAAAAAAATAAAATACAAAAATCAGCTAGGCATGGTGGTGTGTACTTATAGTCCCAGCTACTCAGGGAGGCAGGAGGACCGCTTAAGCCCAGGAGTTGGAGGCTAAGGTAAATTGTGATCATGCCACTGCACTCCAGCCTGGGTGGCAGAGACCCTGACTCAAAAAAAAAAAAGATTCAGAATGTTAAACTTCTCAGGGCTCAAGGGAGAGGGAAAAAAGGATTTTTTTCCTCCTTATTTTAAAGCAAAAGGCAAGCGAACAACACTGAGCTTACAAAGTTCAAAATAAAAATGAGCCGGGCTCAGTGGCTCAGCCTGCAATCCCGCATTTTGGGAGGCTGAGGCCAGTGGACTGCTTGAGCCCGCGGGCTCGAGACCCGCCTGGGCAACTTGGCGAGACCTTATCTCTACAATGAATCAAAAATTAGCCGGACGTGGTAGCGCACACCTGTAGTTCCAGCTACTTGGAAGGCTGAGGCAGAAGGATCGCCAGAGCCCAGCAGGTGGAGGCTGTGGTGGCCAGGAGCGGCCACTGCACTCCAATCTGGGCAACAGAGTGAGACTCCGACTAAAAAAAAAAAAAAAAAATGAGCTGAACAACATCTAATCTTTAATATTCATAGAAATTTAATATGTAATAAAGGTAGCATCACAAAGCAGAAGAGAAAAAAATGGCTAAACAGTGTTAGAAAGACTAATTAAATGGAGAATAAAACTGAGTTGTCCTCAGCAACAAAACGAGCTTTCAAAGCATTTTAAAAGTAAGACATCATATACAAACAAAATAGCTCTGGGCATCAAAAACAGACACCAGAAATTTAAAAAAAAAAAACAAAAAACAGACACCAAAAAAAAAAACTAGGGTAAAATTTACAAGCAGTTCTCTTTCCTGGAATTAGAGATTAACAAATTGAGTTGGGCGTGATAGTGCAGGCCCAGCTACTTAGGAGGCTGAGGTGGGAGGGTCATCTGAGTCCAGAAGTTCAAGACCCCATCTCAATTTTTTTTAAAATAAAAAATTCTTAATTAAAAAAAGATAAACACATTAACACAAAACTAAGCATGACAGCCATCTTGTCTGCCACCTCTGTACAAATTCAGATTGGCTCATAATACAAATCTCCCCAGAGGGCTTGCAATAGTATTTCACAAAATTGGTTGTATTCTTCTTCTTCATGAATGCTCAGTCTGATACATAGCATGTTTAGTTACAAACGCCTCTGCTGACTGCCCCTGCAACATTTTCATGGCTCGCCAATAGATCTGTCCACAGTTCTCAGGTCTACCAAGGGGATGCTTCAATTCTTCTTTGATGTAATCCATCCAAAGTTCTTTAAAAAAAAAAAAATTACTGTAAGCATACAGCTAGACAACTGAGAAGGCTTTATTAGGCAGACTTGTTTAACATTGATTCAACTCAAGATTTCTAAAAAACTTCTTATGGTTATTTCCCTAGAACCCTATGTGAAACAATACTGTACCTCTCCTTTCCTTAAGAAATAATGAATATTTTTTAAGTAGAAAAATCTTCATAACCATGACAGTCTATATTATCTCATGAACTCTAAAATACTAAATTTTTAAAAATTTTTTTTTAGTTGGAGTTTCACTCCGTCGCCCAGGCTGGAGTGCAGTAGCACGCTCACAGCCACCACAGCCTCCATCTGCTAGACTCAGGCGATCCTTCCACCTCAGCCTTCCAAGTAGCTGGAACTACAGGCACACACCACCACACCTGGCTATTTTTTCATTTATTGTAGAGATGCGGTCTTACCATGTTGTCCAGGCTAGTCTCGAACCCATGGGCTCAGGCAATCCTCTTGCCTCGGCCTCTCAAAGTGCTGGGATTAGAGGCTTGAGTCACTGCGCCCAGCTAAAATACTAAACTTTTAAAAAAACAGATTATCAGCCGGGCTTGGTGGCTCAGCCTGTAATCCTGCGCCTTTGGGAGGCTAAGGTGAGTGGATTGCCTGAGCCCGTGGGTTCGAGATCCTCCTGGGCA